TCATAGCTCAGGCTTTAAAGGGTTACAGTGGGTTTTCTACTTATTAATAAACCGCCATTGAAATAATTCAGTCCTACTACGGATATGAAAACTGAAAACTTTATTATTAAAAGCTAAATGTAGACAAATGGCATCATACTTTTCAGGCTTTTTTCGAGCATAGCGATGTTGACGCTTTCACAGCTATGTTGTTAAATTAAATTAATAAAGTTATAAAAACATTAGGTGAAAAAAAATGTATACATCATCTATAAATGGTAGCTAATTCATTGCCCACTTAAAAATGGCCGTAAAACGTATATCTAAGCGTGATATACCCTGAAGCAGGACTGTTCAGACACAAGACTAATGTACAGCCTTCATGCCTCACAGATGCTAATGCATTCAATTGCAAAGCTGCTTGTTTCATATCGCGTTTAGAAGTGAGAGCGTGTAACCTATAATCTGTCTGTGAGCTATATATTGCTGGCGAGCACACAGCCTGCTCGTGCACCGTGTTCATTCATGTACAGTATATTTAATCCGTGAACGCGCTTTCCTTATTCCTGGAGAATTACGTCATCGCAATGCCCAGAGTCCTGCAGGAACTTGCATTCAAATGCCCACAGCAGGGTGCTGTTAAGTGTACTGTTCCCACTATTGTATATAGGAAAGGCACACATCGAGACTATACTGAAAAGCAAGTGCAGGCTGCAATCTGAATAAATCGAAAATCGTGTGGAGATGTCAACACTCCTACATCACCGGAAATCCCACAAAATCCCCGAAAATAACTAATAGAACCATATCCACTTGTTTTTGGTCAAATAATTAAATAAAGAAGAAATTGTAAACAAAAGTTTTCAGGAATAAAGACAGAAAGAAGAAGAGCCATAGGAGGCTGTGCAGCCGTGAGGGGGCGGACCACTACAGGCGCGCTCCGCACGACGCGCGTCAGCGCCGGCGCCTCGGCAAATAACCTCATTCTGCATACAGACTGTTATATAGTGGCTCTTCTCCTCTTGAATTTGAGATAGCGGTACAAGTGTGAGTCACAGTTCAAGGACCACCATGGCTGCACTGTCGGGGGGTGAGACGTGCATCAAATACCTGATGTTTGCCTTTAACCTGGTGTTCTGGGTGAGTCGGAAGCAAGAAAATATATTTATTCTCGTGTGCATCCTGGCTGTTTTTCTACGTGTGTGTGTGCGTGTAGGTGTGTGAACGTGTGTGAGGTTTGCGTAGGAACATGCGCATTCGTGTGAGCGCAGGTTACTATAGTGAATAAAATTACACGGTATAGACGTCCCAGATGCAGAATAGTGCCGAGTGCTCACGGTGTGTGTCTGTTACTTATCCCCGGGTTGTCTGAGCAGCCGCATGAATGAATTATGGCTCTGGCTGCCACTAAATACAAAGTGTCCCAATGTTTGTGGAGACCGTGCGGGCTGGAGAATAATCCCCAGTGGCCAAGTGACCCAGTTCCACCGCGCAGACTAGCCACACTCTGGAGTTTGCGCGCATGGCATTTTAATACTTGCAATGAGGGGGAGGGGGCTTATTGTGGCCGAGATATAGCCCCAAAATTAAGTAATTAACACTTCCGCCCCTAAAAGAGTTGTTAATGGAAGTCTGTCTACTTGGCGGTGTGCGCGCGCACATGCTTGTGCGTGAATGCTAGATATCCCATGTAGGTTATGTGTGTCCCGCTGTCCTGCGCACCCGCAGGGTGTGTCTTGCTGTGCGTGTTTGAGTGGGATGTGTGCGTGTGGTTTCAAATGGTTGTGTTGCCTTTTATGCACGTTTGTAATCTGCGACGCTATACATAGAGCTAAGTGTAGCATTAATTACAGGGCAGACAGATTTCCCACAGCATGTGAACGCTACGTGTGAGAGAAAAAAATAAGTTTTGAGTGTTAATAAGATTGATGAAAATAGGTCATTAGAATCACTTTTTAAAAGTCACAAATGTTTCGAAATGGAGAAGCTTTAGGAAAACAATACATTATAAATTACAGTATAACTCTTAATCAGCAGAATTTGTCAACACACAGGGACGCTTCCTTATAACTAGCATCCTCATTTAAACAAAGACACTTCCCTTCTGAGATAGAAACTAACCAGGATCAAAGCTCAGTGCAGCTTTTGTGTCAGTGCACACAGAGCAGAGTTCGCAAATTTTGCTTGGACTGGATCAAAACCCACTTCTGGGTGCAGCAGAAGCTGTAGGTGTAATGGGAAGCAAAAGTCGACCCATTCACTGTAGGTACGAGTTCAGATACCAGAGGATTAAATGTGTCGTCAAGCAGGTATTTTAGGAAACGTTTACATGCCTGGACACAACCCCTCTATCTACCAGATCATAACACCCTCTAACTATACATGGAACAACAGGTTGAAAGAGAAGAGTTACTTTGGCCACTCCCTACCTCCATAATCAGGTGACTCTGAAAGGCACGGTATTGAGAATACTCTCTCTTACCACTACCTTTGCGTTTGGCTTCTTCCTGGAAAAAAAGGCACTACTTTGTCACAGTGGTGAACTGTTTAATGTGACTCAACATGGCTCTCGGTGGGGGAATCAAATGTGTGAAATATCTCATGTTCATCTTCAACCTTTTCTTCTGGGTAGGTGTATTTTGCTTTTTAATTAATTAATTATTATTTTTAAAAATTTTTTTGATCTGGTGGTTTGTGTGATAAAGAAAAGGGGAAATGTTTCAACTTGTGTTACAGTTCTGTAACAAATTTCTTCTAGCTAATATAGTTTAAAGGATACAGGAAAACTGCAGCAATATGGCATAAAGTATTCAAAACAAGAAGCATTTGTCAAAACGTGAGAAGAAAAGGCAAAGTGACACTCCCACGCTTTCAAAAATAACTGCGTGCCACCTTTCTTCTCAAAGTTAAACATTTACCAACCTATCTTTGCCGAGGCTTGTAAGTGGCCTTGTACACACGTTTTTTAAAGTCCTAAACTCTGAGTTTTAGAATACTTTCTCCGCATATTTCAAATAACTTGCTACTATGTGTTCATGTTAAGTGAAAATGTTCAAAGGAATGTGTGCAAGCTGTGGCCATGCAGGCTCCCTTCTCTGTTATCTGTCTCAGAGCTTAAGAATCAAAAGTGTAATGTTCAGTTTCAGTTTACTTTGGGCTATTTGTTTTATTTTGTTTTTTAGAAACATGAAGCTGTGTAGGTATTGAATTGTAATATTTGTAGGTGTTTTTTTGATTGATTTGTAGACAAATAGAAGTAATTACTGTGAAAGGAGAGTTTCCACAACGAGGCACTGTTTATTCAATTATATTTGAAGATTTCTGTTTGAGTACTGTGAAACTGTAAGGATGAAACCAGGAGAAACAGCTGGTCAGTGCAGTGTTTAAAACTTAGAGGCATAATTGTTAACCGATGCTTGCTGATTAGGTTGGCAAGCGGGGGATGGTGCATGCATGGACATGAAGAGAACTGAGTATGAAGAGTTTTCTTCTTGACTCAACTTTTAATGAGCAAACAGTATGCAAATTGCATGGTCCAAATTGCAATATATCTTGTATGTGACAACATATATTTTTGTGTGTTGCAGCTCGCCGGCACTGCTGTATTAGCTATAGGACTGTGGCTAAGATTAGACCAGAAGACCAAAAGCTTATTTGAAGAACCAGATTCTTCATATGTGTTTTACACAGGTAAGATGCAGGGATGTTTATTATATCATAGCTATTTATATAAAAGCTATTTATTCTTCTCTGTATATCACATGTGTTGTGTGTGTGTAGGTGTATATATTCTGATAGCAGCTGGAGCACTGATCATGGTGGTGGGCTTTCTGGGATGTTGTGGTGCCATCCGGGAGTCCCCCTGTATGCTGGGAACGGTTTGTACCACTTAATAATCTTCATAACTATCATATTCTATTAACTAATTTTGATCTAACTAACGTAAAAATTTT